TGAATATTTTTCTTGGTGCGATACATCAGGCAGGAGAAGCATAGGTAAAAATTTTATTTTATAACCTGCTTTGAATGGCTGATTCAAATTCTGAAATTACGACAATCAAAGTTCAAATCCATTTCCTTCTAATTTTGTTCCTGGTCCACAAGACAAGAGAACTCCTGGATCAAGTAGTAGATGATTTTATCAGTTTTCAGATGGATTTTATCAGCATTTGCTATACATAGGGAAGAAAAATCACGAAAATTACCCATGGTTAGTATGACTGCAAGGGGATTCTATTCCATGATCCATCCGCTACTGAGTATATTTTACGTCAGCAACTGTGGTCAGTGTGAGTGGGGAGCAGAGCTCGCATGAACTAGTCAGTGCTGGGATTTGAACCTGAATCATTTCATTAGGATGAGAACGCTCTATCCCTCTGGCAAATTGTATTTAAAAACCTCTTTAATTGAAATGGCAATTTTTATATACTTGTCTACCAGGAGCCTGAAAGCCGTAACTATTTTTTAAAATATTCATTCCATATAAGTCTGCAATTTTTGGCTAGTTCTAGGTGCTAAATTTTATTGTCGATCAGGACATTGATGGTAATGTCTTTAGTGAGCATTGCTCTTCTCTTAAGAGTTTTTGATTAAAAGGATTGGTAAAACCTCCCTACTGAGAGGGCGCTGTGAGCGCATCAACAAGTAGTGAACATGTAGACACGGAAGTGTCAAGTTGTATTAATCCTTTTTTCGTTATTAAATATTTGTTTCGTTATATTTGATTTGATTTCGCCGATGAATTATTTTGAACTATTGATATAAAACCACTGAACCTACCTTGATATTGATTTGAACACGGAACAAGGATGTTACTCTTCTCTGAATTTAAGACAAAACAGTAATTGGTAGATTGTTCTGCAACTTCCTATTCGAATTTCTGAAATATGAGAATTGAGATTTTCAGCTTAATGCAATGACCTGCCAACTGTCACTCTCTCCGAGAATGGATTTACAGAGGGGTTGTAAAACAATAAACGAAAAACAATTTGACTCAAACTTATATTTATATTTTGATCCCATTAATATTCTGCTTTTATATATTTATTGTAATTATTTATATGTAGTGGTGATCAAACTCATTTATAATTATCATTATAATTCAAAAAGTTAATTGGAATAACCTGAGTATTGCTACCACTTTAAATATGAAAATAAAATCTTCCCCAAAATCCAGAAGAGTTAGCAGGTATGCCCTATCATCTGTGGACGAGTTTTACCATTACCTCCTAGATCAGAAAGAGTCCACTCGGTTTTTTATAAGTAGTCTGCGCAGACTATTTAAAAAGTGAATCAGTTGTGCGCAGGAATCCAAATTATTTTCTATTATAACTAACTAACTAATCAAGTCTTCCAGAGTACCTATCTGGGAATGGATATTTGCTCCTTCATCTAAATTGAAGAATATGTGGTGGAAGAGAAGGGAGGTGCTGCGTTAACATTAAGTTAAATCTCAGAATGAACAATAATTGATAATCAAAAAATCAAGTATGGGTTATACATAAAAGTAAATCGCAAGTTGATACAAAATACAGGGAACAAATTGAAGATAAAATATTTACACTATTTACAAAAGGGGAGGACTCCCTCGCCTTCCCCCGGTAGTCGGGCTTCATTGGTGTAGAGTGCACATTTCGTCTGGGGCAGTGGGGATAGTCATGATTATCCGAAATGCTTAGAGAGAACACAGTCGCTTAAGAAAAAAGCGGTTATCGGGCTGAAATTTTTATTGTTATCAATTAAATCGATGTCTAACAACTTATTGAACTCGCAAGTTGAACAATTTTTGGCACCTTTAAAAAAGGATGCATTGAGAAAGAGGTACTCGTCTATTTTGAGGTCATTATAAAGGGTGTTATTTCTGACAACCCAGGGAGCCCCAGTGATTCTTAGTCTCTTTCTTTGTGCATTTGTAAGCGTCCCCCAGGCCGTGGTTGTTTCTATTATAAAATGAGAAAAGTTTATCATACATATTTGAGAATTGAATCGGTAGTGGTAGATTAGTAAATAAGACAAACCAATTATATTCAAATATTAAACAAATTTTTAGATATATATTTGCTACCACTATCGAACTTTTACTAGATTTTGTATTATATGCTTCGTTCGTAAACTTGTTAACCTTCATAATGGTCTGATCGGACTACCTACCTACAGTAAACCGTGTGGAGGCTTAACCCTTTCGCACCGACTGTCACAAATACGTGACAGCAAAAAACCGTATCAATCAGGGTAAGAAGATAAAACTGGTAATCAAAGTATTTCTTTAGCAGTTTATTTGTAGGCGGAGTTATAATTTTTTGATTTATTTAATTCACCATTACTTTGTTCAAAATAAAACTATTTAGTTATACTTTGAATTAACATTGATTATATATATGATTAAACTAACAATAATTAAAATAAAAGCAAAGTAAGTCTGTCAAATTAGTAACGACTACATTTAAGTTACCGTTTTTTATTTAATTGAAAATTGATTCTGATTTTGTACGAATGCTTTTCTGAATCACCCGTCCCCAAGGGGTTAATGCTATAGGAGGCGTTGGTTTTACGAAATGAAGTAACAGTTTTGCTCACCTTAAAAGTTCCAAATAACTACTTTCGTCACTTGTATAGGTTGGCGTAACGAGTACCCTGATACCTTTCAATGAGACTGAGCATTTGGGCATCATCTTGTTGCTCAGTGCAAGCTTGCAGGCTCACGCAGTTTCATCTAATATGGTTACAGTGGAAGCTAAAAAGTAAACGAATATCGGCATTCCTCTCGACATTCGCCCGGAGACGCTGCTGTGACTATGTTTACGAGGTTTTATTTCAAATCGAGGTATCGGTTCAATATTTATGAATAATTTTTGCTTCAGTTGGCTAGAGAAGTGAGGTTTGTTTATGAAAAAAAACCCTCTAGAAATGAATTCATCAAGTTTAATTAGTTGTTTCACCATTGAGAGTTCTTCTCTTAACACGTTCAAGCCGGGCTGACCCACCGGTGGGTCACGCTAGATTGTCTCATCTTGGCAGCGCACCGGAGTAAAAACTGGTTACAATAAATTTCATTTTTTAGTCTTTTTCCTTGAATAATAAAAATTTATAACTACCAATTTTTTTAAACGGATGCAATTTTTATATTGAATTGCTTCTTCCCCGTGATAAATTTCCTTACAGTGAATTGTTATTGCTGAGAATAGATTAACTCCTCCCGAATATTATCTAATATAGAAATAGTTCTTCTACCAGTATTTTCTCTTTTCCCGTACCGGTATTTTCACTATTCCCGGCGTGAACGTGTTAATCCATATTGTTCATAAGCAACACATTTGATAGAGTGGTCGTTACTCTTCATCAAAATGGAACACTGGTGCAGAAAAGAAGATTGAGAGGTGCAAATGGTGCAGAGGAGATATGATATGAAGTTCTGATAGTTTTATTTATCATTCCTTAGCGTCTGTGTGTGAACATATAACTTTTTTTTCCCCGTTTGGATCGCTATTGACTGCTAAATGTAATTGAAAGAGTTAAAAGTTAAGAGTTAAAGTTAGCTTAAAAAATTACTGATTCAAAAAAAATTTTTTTTTAACTGCATTCTTATTAATGAAACTTTTTAATATAGCTTTTATTAGGAACATCTTTCAATTATGATTATAAAGTTTCACCGAGATAACAAAAAATTTATTTATTTCAACAGCAAAAAATAAATTTTTTTACACTTTCAAATAGATTTTAACTTTTTATATTATTTAAAAAAAATCAAGTTTAATTTAAAGTGCATAGAAATGTAATGTAATTTAATTTAAATGTTTGTAAAATTGGTTATTTTTTAGGAAATTGTTAAAATAATAATATTTATCAGTGCTTTTTTTCACATTAACGTATTTTTCGGTATAAGTGTTATTATCAATTTCATGGTAAAAAATACTGTGTAATTAATTCCTCAACTTAAAACATGGTTAAAAATCAAACTGTCGGGATTACACGTAAAGAGACTAGAAGTAACTGAAAATTAAAAATGAATAAATAAAAAGATCAATGCGTGTTTTAATTTTATATTGAAAAGTAGATGCTTGAGTAAAAAAAAAAAAAAATGTTGCAAAGAATCTGTTCACTTTGGCTGTGTACAATTGAAACAACTATGCAAATATCTTATACATATCATGTACAAATATATATACATATGAATATATATATATATACAATATACATA